AATGTTATGATTTCCTTCACATCCTACAAATAAATAATGTAAAGAATCAACGTTTTTGATTAAATGATTTTATTAAGAAACAACGAATTATAAGTCTAGGCCCTAAATAATGTTTAATGATTTCTTGGAGTCCTATATAAATAGATGATATAGCAAAAGGAATCAATATTGACGATTACAAGATCTGTTATGAAGAATATATGATTAATGCAGATAGTAGAGTTGCAAATTATTTTTCTGCAAACAAAGAGGTTTATAAACTTATTTTTGTTTTGCAGGAGCGATCCATTACGTCAGTGCACGAAACAATCCCGGCAGTTATGCAGTGGTTTGTGACAACCCATCAAGTCTAGGAACATCTATGGGTAGCATAAACCTACGAGTACCACCTACTTCGAAGTCTGTGCTAAGTTTGACCATTGCGTCACATAATTAAACTTCATCGCCTTTGATTCAAGTCATCATGGATTTAACTTTATTAGACGTATTAGATGTCATATTTGACCTTAAGCGTATCATCATATGTTGAACATTTTATACCATCGTTAGTTATCAGATTTCGTTAAAAGAAGAATTTCTCAAATATTGCATTCTATTATATTTATCTATACTCAGTGGTCTACTCAAACATTTCAATAGATAATTGCTAATGACCATGATGTTAATTCGATCTTAAATAATATAAATAAATAAAAAAATATAAAACTTATGCAATTTAATTACACTATTCTTTTTATATAGATTAATTACATGTAAAAGTAATTTTTCTAACTATATTCAAGTTCCTAATGTCACGAAAATTAAATTGAACGAACTGTATCATTATGTATTATACGTTATCCACACACTCTCGATCGAACTTCGGCTGCATTAAAATCGAGATACTCGTTTTGTCAATGGCACAGTCAAATACACAGTACAATTATATTTAATATGGCACAGTACAATTAAATCGTACAACATGTCGCGTTCGATTTGTATTCTCTTCACCATGAAATAACCTTCACCATTGCCGCTTAACTTTTTCATTTGGCCGGAGTTCATTGTGAAGAGATTTCTACAACTTCCCGAGAGATATATAATTCAACTTTTTAAACACATGTAATAATGTATATAACTTGCTATTTACATAACATTCATTTATAAATAAAATCTTGCATGTATTTTTATATGAATTGCTTAACCATTTCCATTGTTTTGATGAAAACCCAGGAGAATGGGTTTATATATATATGTCTTGTACTTTGTCTATACTTTGTCTTATATATATATATCTTATACTTTGACAAAATAATACCTACTTATTTATTCATTATTAATTCTACTTATTAAAATCCTTCTATCACATGTTCAAACAAACTTATCTGAGTAGAAGTTCTTATTTATAATAAGAACTGCTTGTTCTGGGATGATCAACACATAATATCTTCACTTCGCATCTTATTACCACAAATGCAAAGCTACTGTGTTACCAAACAAAGGAAAAGGAACGTATGTACATACATACTGCTTTTTTCAAATTCCCATCACATTCAAATATCATATCAATTCTGTCTTTTACCGAATAATTCATTGCAAACAGCTATCACAGAGTATCACATAGACTGCCATAATTGGACTGATTAACTTGAGGGTTTCTAAACTCATATTATTGTGGTATTCAATTCAAGTAATGTATCGCCACAGAAAGGAGTTGCCTTGAAAATTTCGTGATCAACCATCTCTACATTCTCCATGCTACGAAAAACACTTTCTATGTTTCTACAGATTTATATGTTAGCACTACTCGAAACGCCTCGAAATTCTTCTTAGAAACGAAAACGATTGATCTTCATTTTCGGGATTCAAGGTCAGTTGAATGTCATGTCACACTACATACGAATATTGGAATGTATTCTTTTATTAGCTACGGAATGCACCGCGAGAATATATGTAGAAAATAACTTATTTTGAGGAGAACATTAGGGACCTTGAAGGCTAATTCCTTAACTAACCACTTGATTCCATTCATGTTACAAATTCAACATCAAAATTAAAGACGATATTCTGGGGGTCACACATAATTGAGACACCCTGTATAGCATTCGAAGTGTGCAATTAACATTGGCTAATGAGCATCCGGACAATTCTGCAAACAAATCACGTTTGTACACGCACATGCCCACATGAGCGCGATAGTATGCGTAACAGGTGAACACCAAACAAATGAAAATTTCACGAATACTACACAAAATATTTTCATCGCGTCGCGTCGCATGTGTCAGCGGAAAGTTCTTGTTCTTTTGAACACTGCTGATTCATAAATACGAGACTCGAGTAGAGATTGCATTTAATCAATCGCGTATCGACAATCACAAAGGAAATGATAAAACGCATTTAACGATAAAATGCAGCATTCGAATACCGTATCATGCTTGCAATTCCATATAGCAATATTGTACATAAGATTACAATTACGTATAGTATGGAAACGTTAATCAGAGCATATCAACATGTTTTCTCTTTTTTTTTTAAATATGTAAATTGATCTTCTGAGGTTTTCAGAATATATATATAAAGAATATATTAGGTGACCTAATAATCTTGATAAATCACTTTGTGTAACAACATCAGTTAATTTAGCAGAAAAGTAAGATTGTTGGCAGTTTTTAAACATGAAGTTGTTCAATGAAAAATTTCTTTGTCATTCTTAAGATCAAAGACTAAAAATATAAAGTGAAAAAATATTATTAAACAAATCACGTGAGTAATTCACATATAATCTGAATTCAAAACTAACAAGTCCTTTCCTAAGACATTATGCGTAACATAAATCCTATTCTTTGTTGGAGTCTATATATGAGTTGTTACTATATTAAAAGGGTTGAAATATTCTTGACTACAAATAAGTAAAAAATAAAATGCATCGAAATCATGATTTTTTTATGATCGTTAACTGAAAGTATATTATTTTTAATACTATATTTGTTAACTATACTACTGGAGCTGTATCGCAAGAATATATGTATAAAATAATGTAATTCCTCGAAATGGTTTTCCACCGAAACCGACACACGACCGAAACCATACTATGGATGGATTTATCACAAGACATCCCAACTGGACAAGAGAACGAATCACGAAATTAGCTGAAGATGTTGCGAAATTTGAATGCTTACTCTCGACGGGATACGACAATCGCATTATTAAGGACTTCTTCGTAAAACGAAGTGGCTAGCGGAAAAGAGGTTCGAATATAGGTTAAGTCTCATAAAATGGCACAGTAATCTGCACAAGTAAAGAGTTTGACGGACAACATCTAATAAGGCACTATACAGAGTGGACCGGAATTCGTAATATGATCGAGCAGGGGGTGATTCTGTATGAAAAAAATAAAGACAAAATTTGGTATAACATATTTTTATCCGGGACTCCGTTTTTAAGAAATCGTCTTTAAAGTTTGTTCTTCTTTGTAAAGAATTTAGGTGTCTATTCTTGTATCGCCGTTATCTCCGTCCGAGGTGGTGTTTACGACATTGACAACGATGGAAACATTCCATTTACCATATAGTTCACAACAACTAAGTTAGTACAATCCCATTATGTCTTGATAAACTGGTTAAAAATAAATATTATTACAAGCTAGACCCTTTCTCCCGACATGCATAGGATCTGTCAGAAATTATGATGCAAGCCAAAAAAAATTACACTTGATGAAAACTTATGTTTGTACTAATTTACATCGTAATAAGGCTTCCATTCAGACTACTAAGTATTTGAGTGTATATTAAAGAATTTTCAAAGCTCTAATAGCCCTTAGCTAGTAGAAAAGTTCACAAAGAAATAGGCAAACAGATTTTATTTGATTTTCTTTATTGTACTAGGAAGGTATGTTTGAAGACTTGAGTTTAAGGGATAAAATCACTAACCTAAGTTCCATCCATACGACGATGAACCATTTAATGATTATTAATTTTTGTATTTAGAAATACAACATTAAGAAATAAATAAATCAACTATATCGGAACCTTGATTAACGGGTTATTCCAGAATCCGAATATGTAGTGCCTTTCTAAAAGAAAAAACAAGAGTTGTATAATGACGATAAAGTAGCCTAATGTCAAAACTTTATTATTTATTTATATTATACTATGATTATCATTTATATATTATTATTTAAAAGAATTATTATCTTTAAATTATTATTGTTTCTGTTTCAAAACAATGAATAATTAAATTAGTAATAATAATAATAATAATAATTAAATCTTCGGAGGAAACTACAAAAACTTTATTATTTATTTATATTATACTACGATTATCATTTATATATTATTAATTAGAAGAATTATTATCTTTAAATTATTATTGTTTTTGTTTCAAAACATTATTTTGATTTTTCTAAAGATAATACGGTTGCTAACTCGTTGCTGCTTCACTTCTGTATTAGTCTTTTAAATACCTATGACTGTGTGGTTATAAATCTTAGTATTCCGTAACATGAACTGTAGAGATTTAAAAAGCATATAAATTTCAGGTTCTGGATACTGTATTGTCACTACTTTCAACTCGAAACATTCATTTTGGACACAGATCAACGAAAGGATAACTTATCTAACACAAAGAATGTTGAGCGATTCATAGCATCGCACCACACAATAAGTATTCAGAACGTAACTGATGCGCTCTAGTGTATATTGTGCCTATTATTGTCTATTATTGTCTATATTGTGCCTTCCCGCTACTTGCGTGCGTGCTTATTTGAGCAGCGTATATAATCTTGTATTATATTAAAGTGCAAGTACAAATATCGATACGCGTCTTCGTTCATTATCTGTCACCATGCACTGTGCAGAAAGAAGTATTTCACAAGATATAATAAAAAAAATAGCTGATGAGATATGGTGAAGAAATGACCATATCCGGATTAATCAACACAGCAATCTAAAGTATGCTGATAACATAGTTATCTTCAGCTTTACTATAAAAGGGACATACGTCTTGTTAGTGGCACAGTCACAATTAAATCGTACGAAATGTCTCGTTCCATTTGCATCCTCTTCGCGGTCCTGGCCGTTCTTCAGGCAGCACTTGCCAGTCCTGTCAACGAGCCTCCAGTGGTCAAGACCGAGATCTTAAACTTACAAGTCACCGATTTGGTCGAACCAAATTTGGTAAGCAGACCCTTAAAAATAGAACTAGCACAATGGTCAGTTCTGATTCTTCATAAACTTCTTTATTTAAACATTTATTAAAATGGAAATCGCACGAAATTTAAATAAAACTAATTTCGTTATTGGCACAAAAATCTTTTGCACTCGAGTGATGACTTTGTGGGGACACTAAAAAAAAAAAAATTGTTGCATCACATCATAAAATAATTTTTACATTATCAAATTTCTTTCTATTTAAAACCTCGTTAAAAGTATTACGACTCACGTTAATACACGATTTTATGTTGCAAAATTGATAACGACAACTAGATAGCGGATTTTAGCGATCGTCCTATTCGACCTATATTGTTTATTAATGGGAATATTATTTTTTATGTGACAGCTTAACGACTCAAGTAGTCTAGCCGGTGTAGATTTAGAGGTTGGCAGTCACAGGTCAGGTGAAACACTATACCGCGCAAGAAATGCGTATGCAAATAGTGAACAGAATGCGGTGATTTTGGAATTACACCTGACTATTCCTAGCGGTAAAATATTTCTTCTTACATTTCTCTGTTATTAATTTTATTTTACTTTATGAACCACGGATTAGTAATCAATCACATTATAATAACTGAAACTTCTGCTTGCTTTATTCGATTAAATAGTTATGTTGCTCAAATCTGAGTAAAATTTTACAATAAACGGTATTATTTAAAAATAAATATCATATTTTCTTTATTGGCAAAAATATAGTACTAGACATACATGAATATAGTTGATATTAGTAATTTTTACGAACATTTTTTAAGTCTAAAATATACCTACTAAAAAATATTGTCATTAATTTGCTAAAAATGGTAAAGAACGGACAACGAATAAAAATAACACTTTCTTTAAACGAATTGAATTAATATTATTAAAACTGTGTATTATTTAAAACACAAAAAAATGAATTAATCGTATTTTATAGAACTTGTTTTTCTAGTAGCTTTGAACCGAAAATAATCAATTTTTGATTGAGTAAAGGAAAATTTATTTCGACNATTGTTGCATCACATCATAAAATAATTTTTACATTATCAAATTTCTTTCTATTTAAAACCTCGTTAAAAGTATTACGACTCACGTTAATACACGATTTTATGTTGCAAAATTGATAACGACAACTAGATAGCGGATTTTAGCGATCGTCCTATTCGACCTATATTGTTTATTAATGGGAATATTATTTTTTATGTGACAGCTTAACGACTCAAGTAGTCTAGCCGGTGTAGATTTAGAGGTTGGCAGTCACAGGTCAGGTGAAACACTATACCGCGCAAGAAATGCGTATGCAAATAGTGAACAGAATGCGGTGATTTTGGAATTACACCTGACTATTCCTAGCGGTAAAATATTTCTTCTTACATTTCTCTGTTATTAATTTTATTTTACTTTATGAACCACGGATTAGTAATCAATCACATTATAATAACTGAAACTTCTGCTTGCTTTATTCGATTAAATAGTTATGTTGCTCAAATCTGAGTAAAATTTTACAATAAACGGTATTATTTAAAAATAAATATCATATTTTCTTTATTGGCAAAAATATAGTACTAGACATACATGAATATAGTTGATATTAGTAATTTTTACGAACATTTTTTAAGTCTAAAATATACCTACTAAAAAATATTGTCATTAATTTGCTAAAAATGGTAAAGAACGGACAACGAATAAAAATAACACTTTCTTTAAACGAATTGAATTAATATTATTAAAACTGTGTATTATTTAAAACACAAAAAAATGAATTAATCGTATTTTATAGAACTTGTTTTTCTAGTAGCTTTGAACCGAAAATAATCAATTTTTGATTGAGTAAAGGAAAATTTATTTCGACTGTTCAGTGTCTTTCTTCTTATTGCCAAGCAACGATGTAGGTAACATGACATTACAAATCGCTACACTACAATCTTGTTGGATTCATAAAGTATCAATCGTTTAATGAACAAAATGGTTTATGATTGTGGCACTTTCGCAGGAATCATCCATTATGTCCAGGCGGTAAACGATCCTAGCAGCCATGCCGTGATTTCCAGCACTTCAAATACTTTGGGATCATCTGAATCGGTGATATTGCTTGGACTTCCACCTCATACATTCAATGTGATAACCTTCACCGTTGCCGCACACTAATTCTTTCGTTTCGCCTGAGTTCGTTGCGAAGGGATTTCTATAACTGTTATGATTTCTATAACTATATATATTTCTATAACTATTATGATGTGTAAAATGTAAATTTTGTATAGCACTGTAGCCTTGGATGCATCATTAAAACTATTTTTCATCATTATTGCTTCTTTATTTTCATACAATTAAATCGCTTTAATCAGACTATGGATGTAAATACCTGATGGATGAGTTGATGAGTTTGAAATTCTTGCTGTTTCTCACTGATTTTAGACAGTATCTGATATTGTCAAAGAGAGTAATCGCGTAATCATTTCTTGTTATTCTGTAAAATACTGGCGCTAGCGTGATCCTCACCAGATACGGGACAAATGGAACGAAAGATGTGGCACGTTGCGAGTTTCAAAGAGACCCTAGACCGCTCGTACATACATAGATGGTACGTTAGTCACAAGCGACCCAGAAATTTCTCAACAAAACGGCCAATAAAATGTATTCCTTGACCGTAAGAAAAGCTTTTCAACCATTGGCCAAGAATTCCACTTTTTTCTTTTAAAAAATGGCTCTACTATTGGTAGAAGAAAGATGGCAAATGTGTGTTTTGATACTGCTTGTACGGAAAAGAGCAAATTATTCCTTGATACGAACATTTACTTTATGATCTCTGTGTAGACTCAGTTTAAAATGAAAAGAAAGCTACAGATCTTTATAAAAAAAATAAATATATTCCAAACGAATTATACGGAATAGAAATGAAATCAGTTTGGAAAATAAAAGTGTTATAAATTAATTGTACAAAAGAGAAATGAAATCTTTATGAGAATGAAAAATGTTTGAAATCAATTGTAAGAAACAAAACTTGAATAAAATCGTAATTCTTCTCTTAATTATTTTTATAAATTGTAGAAGGTATAACAGTAATATAAACAGTATATAAGTAAAATAATCTTTCTTAAATGTCTTTATGGTTTGCTATTTCATATTCCACTAAAGTGGAACGATAAAACTATTACGTATCGCTTTATTTTTGACAAAATGAGAACAGTTGAAATACGTTTTAGCTGAATAACTTCATAAATTTGCGATTAGAATAATGGATGTTAAAATGTTAAGAAATAATGGGGTCTGGGTGCCTATACATATAAATATTGCAATATTGAAATCTGGAGGCAACACTGGAAATGTATTGTAAATTCTATAGCTTTATCGCTAAAACGGGACCTGGTATAATTATATTAGAATTCAATTTCTGCGCAAAGAAGGAGCTCGCTCACAACGTCCCCCCCCCCTTTCCCAGTAGTTTAATGGAGGACTGTTCACTCGAGTTGTTCCTTTTTCTGGTCAGAATATTGTGAATGGCCAGCTACATTTTGTGATAACGTCGCCACGAGTATGTGTTGCAATTTATAACCTGAAAATCTCCCAAGAAATAATAAATTAAAAATACTCATAATTATCAAAATGTTAATCGTGTATACTTTTATTTCAGTGTTCTACAACTGGTATCATAAAAATTTATTAAATTACTTTCCGCGTGGAAATGTAAAAAAATTGTTCTAAAAAATACATCGGAACCTTGAACAATTTATATGAACGATTTCAATAGTGTAGGAGCCAATGAACCAAGACGATAGAAAAACAGTATTTTGTGTGGCTTCTTGTGATGATTCGACACAGTTACTTTAATTATCCAGTCAGTGTTGGACATGAGGAATGCCACGATATGGTTTCAATGGCTGGAGAAAGGCAAATCAATAAAAATAGTTTATCATCGGTCATTTTAATAATAAAAATATGGCAGTTTTGTAGATATTGCTTCTATGCTATTTTATATAAGACGAATGCAGAAACAATAGTTCTTTAATGAATTATACAACATTTCAGCATCGTAATTATTATAATTAAATTAATATTTGTTGGTTTATTTAATACAAACGAAGATTGCGCGATAACATAATAATACATAGGACAAATACCACTATTTTTACACTCCCTTTTGTATTCGTGATATCTCTCGTATGACACGTAGAAAATGATTGATGAAGCACTCTTTGATTTAACCGGAACGATCACTCCACATGAAAAAGCATCATCACATTTGAAAACATACATACATCGATCATTATGCGCTAGACTGATTGCCGCCAACTACTGAGAATTTCGTAAATAGTCGCAGATATAAATGTTACATCAACCTTCACGAACCTAACTTATTAAACAAAATGAATTAACTCTTAAATGTTTACATTAATATGATTTGTGAGAAAAAGACAGCTGATCTCAGGAACGTTTTATTTCCTATTTATTGAACAAAGCAAACTAAATGTATAGAAAATAAATTTTTGCAAATTTGTAGAGTTTGTCATTATACTGATTATTCCAGCTAAGTGAAAGAATAATGGAAAGGAAAAAATGTTTGTAGATTACAAATAAAATAGCACAAGGGGGGAGACTTTTGTACGGAGGCAGATTATTTTCTACCAAGTACGAAGATTAAGAGTTCGTAAAAAATGACCATGCTAAAGACATTAGCGTCAAGTACTTTTAAAGTAGGGACATTTTAATACGTTTCTTGACATTTTGTTTCCTTTTAACTTTGCAACGGAAAGCAGGTTCCTTTGGGAACTAAACCTTGATTCAAATCTGACAAAATTCTTAGTTTTGAAAAGAAAATGAAATTACAGCTAATTTTTTTTGTGGAGCAAAGGTTTATTTGTTTACTGCTGCATCTGATTAATAGCAATTAGCGATCACTTGTGGAATTACAGCCTGCCGGATTACATGTGGGTTTAATATATACAATAGTTTCTACATTAGATTAACAAATAGATTTCATTTTATTGATTATGTTGGGATTATCGAACGAAATTATATAGAGATTTTCTTTCTTAATTTGTTTTTTTTTTTTTTAATTGCGAGAAGAACAATGTAGGTACCATAAATTCCATTTAAAGTGAAAAACAAATGTACGAATGAACTTTTTCTTCTTCCCATTCTGATGACTTTGCTTGAAACTCTTTCTAGAATTAAAAATGCCTCTGAGCTCTCCAGCCTTTAAATTATGACATGCATAATGCACATGGTAGAGATTACTCGAGATTTTCAGTTAAATTATTAGGTGTGCATAGAGAACCTTTGACGTAACCAAGAGGATCTTGTAATCAGCTTACCAATTCCAGAAGCCCTATCAATGGGATACACGGCGACGTAGACGAGAAAAAAACTGGCAAACAGTTGAAGACGATCGTTTCATGCGTCACGATACGTGAACACGAACGACTGGAAAGCTCCGTAGCTGGAAAACTCGGGACCGAATCGTGATTCACTAAACTTGGCTCGTGATCGACAGAATACTAATTTATCGCGGTGAGTTCTGTTCAGACGGAAACTCCGTTTTCAGGTAGTTTATATTTAGTGAACTTTACACATCATATCGAACTTTTGCCGTCTCTTCGAGATGATACGATATAAATATAACATACGTGATCTTTGATTTACAATCGAAATCTTGGATGTGTGCGCGTCAAGTGCTATGAAAACATCGTCGGGTTTTACGTGAACATAATTTTCGGTGCTGACAGAAATTGTTTCGAAACGTGTGAGTTTAAAAGTCGTATTGATATCATTAGCCATTTGTAATTGGTGGATTTTTATGAGAATTAAAAATTGTTCGCATCGATTGACAGAAACAGGAATTAAACAGAAATCTATTTTTCTCTCGATAATTTCGACAAATTGAAAATAATGTAATAAAGCCTTTACATTCTTTAGATTTGTTATTCGTTTCGTATTTCATTTTGCTCACTTTTGTCATAGATGTTGGAAATTTGCAGTTTGTTTAATTACAGCATTTAATTCGTATTTCTTGGATTTAGGTGATCGAAGTTAAACATTGTAATCTTATGTTATATGTGTCTTTTACATAAATCGATATCTTGTATTTTTCGATAATTTACATAAATTTACATAAATCGATATCTAGTTTTTTGTGAAAATGACGATGTTTTTCTTAACATATATTTACTACTGTTAGAATTTTGTATACGATAGAATTTTTTAGCGACAGATTTAAAAAGCTGGTGAAACTAAGACTATGTAAAAATAATATTATGCACATGTTCCTCTACATTTACATTTAAATTGATTCGCAAAATTATCGACAGAATTTTCAGAAATTACGGAAAGTACAGTAAGTTTCACAATTTTTGATTTCTGGTATAGCAACAGACAGATACAGCTCTAATTGTCTCACAGTTAACAACCAACTATTTTTGCCGCCGGCGATTCAAGTTTTGTCATACATTATGCAAGTTTCAACAGAAATAATGGAAGTGGAAACTTCGGTAATTAGGAGGTCGATAGGACCGTCCAAGTTTTAGGATGGAAACAGGCTCGAAACAAAGGGTTCATTCTATTCTGTTCTAATCAATGGTTTACTACCATCAAAATCCACATTTTCTGCAATACTAGCTCTGAATAGTATGTTTCCTGATACTTGTGGAATAGTTGACGCGGCAAGTAACTTCTGATCGCGAAATATACTATAAGAGGAAGTCGCAGGAAATCGTTTGTACAAGATTCATTTCTGAATTGTTCCTGAAATGGATCAAATCTTTCCGCACAAAATGACAAAAAGTCGATTCAATTTGACAAGTAGTTTTCGAGATCAAATCGGTAGGTACACCTTATTTTTAAAAGTGTAAAAATTAAACAATTTGAAGATTCGCATTCTGCAAACAATTTTAAAAATTAAAAGTCTCTAATTTCGCATGTACATCGCCAAAAAAATGACAAAACGGAATCGATATGGCGTGAATAGATTCAATAAGAAGATTAAACAGTGAAGTTTTATTTAAATTGAGAATGCACAAACATACTTTTCATAGTACATACTATCAAAGATTAGATTCTTATTATTCGATGTTTTTCGTAATACTAGATACCCTGTAGCATTAATTAGTGGACAAACTTGCGTAATTCAGAGGTAGTTAATTAAGGAATCATAAATGTGGAGAATTGCGAACGGGCATAGAAACTGTCGTCCGTGGACCGATTGTCTTTCATCGATAACGATTCGCTTTTCGTCTGGCCACAATTTTGTCTCGGTTCATTCGCAAGCTTTGCGTAAATTTGTCTCGTTTCTCGCGTACAGCACGTGTGAAACAGTATGGACTAAAGTATACATTTTCACATCGTATAAAAGCCACATCAGTCTCCTCGAATAATTTTATTAAAATAATTCGTAGGTACAGACACACGGAACCCTTCACAAATTGCATTAGAATTTCGAAACATATAAAACGTTGCTGAAGCATTGTTCTCTTATTAATTACAACGAAAATTGAGATTTTGTCTAATTTATCTCATCAAAAGCAATGATATAATAGAAATTTGAATAACGAAGATTCCTTAACTAGGCATATATTCCTGATTTGTATTTAAGAAATTCATTATTATAATAGCCGAAACTGACGATTTTGGGAAACGTTTTAAAGCAAAACTGATGAGCATAATAGTTTCGGACTTGGTGACACGTATAAATTTATATATATATATACTTTTATTATATATATATATATATTATTATATATATTATTATATATATTATTATATATATATATATATATATATATATATATATATATATATATATATATATATATATATATATATATATATATATATATATATATATATATATATATATATATATATATATATATATATATATATATATATATATATATATATATATATATATATATATATATATATATATATATATATATATATATATATATATATATATATATATATATATATATATATATATATATATATATATATATATATATATATATATATATATATATATATATATATATATATATATATATATATATATATATATATATATATATATATATATATATATATATATATATATATATATATATATATATATATATATATATATATATATATATATATATATATATATATATATATATATATATATATATATATATATATATATATATATATATATATATATATATATATATATATATATATATATATATATATATATATATATATATATATATATATATATATATATATATATATATATATATATATATATATATATATATATATATATATATATATATATATATATATATATATATATATATATATATATATATATATATATATATATATATATATATATATATATATATATATATATATATATATATATATATATATATATATATATATATATATATATATATATATATATATATATATATATATATATATATATATATATATATATATATATATATATATATATATATATATATATATATATATATATATATATATATATATATATATATATATATATATATATATATATATATATATATATATATATATATATATATATATATATATATATATATATATATATATATATATATATATATATATATATATATATATATATATATATATATATATATATATATATATATATATATATATATATATATATATATATATATATATATATATATATATATATATATATATATATATATATATATATATATATATATATATATATATATATATATATATATATATATACTTATATATATATACTTACACACACACATATATATATATGTAAAACACAAAAATGTGTATATTGACAACTAAATATCTTGCTCTGAATCTTGCCAAACCTTCCACTTAACAAGAATGATTTACTGTAATTATGATTGTCATAAAGTAACCTATAAAGATTAAAATTTGGTACAAAGATCCATAGCCTACTTATCATATTTTTTAAAACTAATCAATAACGTTTTATATGCGAAAGCGTTATTTGAAATCTGTGAGAAAAAAATTAATGGAAGATGATGAAAAGGTTCACAGATTTTGGTGACTGATCACATAAAATATTGGCTGAGAATAGCGTCAAGAAAATGATCGTCTAAGAGTAGAATAGCAAAGAAATATCTACGAGAGGTAAAGCAAATGCATCTATGAATAATTTTCTTATTTGTCTGCATGTCCCAAAAACCCCGTGTTCAAGAGCTGCATTTTACACGCGGCATTGTGCACACGCATGTGAATCATGCATGTACATCAGATCACGGTCATCGCACTCACTCAAGCACTCGCATCTTCTTTACGTGGAGGAATGTCTGAAATATGCCTCTGTCGCTGCACTACCCGAGCTAATGCACGTGGATCTCCTGATATTCTCGTGGCAGGAAGAAAAGGTGCATTCACAGAAATGCATTTTACGTCACTCAAATTTATTACTCGAAAAGAAAATATATATTATATATAAGAAATATAATTATTACGGAAAATTAAATTCTACTCCACTGCATTTTCTCGAAAATTGTTTACAACGAAAAAACAATTTGTGTAACCTTTTGGGATTTAGTTATCATTATGGTAAATCTGAATATTTAATTTCGGTTTTGTTGAATATATTACTTTAGGTTCGCGAGATTTTTGTAGGGGCTGGTTCGTTAGTCAACGCGTCTAAGTGAAAGCTCGGAGATTTCACTGAAACAGGGAGACGATTGTAATTAGGAGGCTACGAATTTTTATACAAACGTCGATATTTACAGATTACTTCCTTCGAACCCGGACGACCGTAAATTTTAATCAATTATCTAAAATATTCCTTATTTCTTAAATAAGTTATAAATGTTTTTAAATATTATTGATATAAATGTTTCCTTCTATTACAGAACGAATGAAGCTTCTTTGTAGTGATCTTTACGAGTTGAGAATAATATACATTTATCCTGCTGTTTTCAATTTCGTACAGTCATTTATGTCGTAAGTACATTGAATTCCCAGTATACTAAGAAATAATCAAAGTGTGAACTAAAAATTGTGATTCAAGAAGATCTAAGTTAAAAATTTGCTTCTTAAATAACAGATTGATTAATATAATATTTATAGTCACAATGTTTATGCTTCCATCAACATTTTAACTTTAAAATAATAAAATCAGGTTTTTTCAGTGCAAGAATCAATAGGTTAAACAGAGTTTTATACCATTTTCAGATGAGATCTGCCTAGAAGCGATGAGGAAACGAAATAATGAGAGCAAGATCGCGAAAGGGCGACTAAACGAAAACACCAGCGTGATCGACAAAAGGGCTGACAAGAAGGACAACAAAGAGGAGATAAGCTTGAACGATGAGATAAACAATCAAGGATTCAGCGATTGGCTACGATCCAGCGATGGCATGGAAATGATGCGACTATTTGTTATTGCCAATTCGGTTTTGGTGTTCGTCACTATGGGGTGGCCGAAACTACAAGAGGCCGTCACTCTTCTCAGAGAATATTTTTGGGACGAAGATTAAATGATTGTTTGCAAGAGACCGATATATACTTCAAAATTTTGCCCAAGGACAGAACTTGAACTGTTCTCGAGTATCAAGTGTTACAAGCAATTCTCCTAATTTCAGCAAATACTGTGTCCATTATCTCAATTCTCGCGCGAGCAATTCAGCTTTTTGCACTATTAAAACAATTATTTCGTTCATCACCGATAGATCATTTAATCGTTAAGCGATATATGAGTGACACTAATTTTTAACTGGATTTCGAAATTCATTTTTCTTCCAATATATTGGACAAACGCTTCTAGGATTTTTAGAATATGTAAAAGTTAAACTGTACACTGTTACTGCTACAGTTAAACTACTAAGACTACGTAAATTTAAACTTTTTAGTTATCATTAATCAAATAAATGTGAGATATTGTGGGGATTTCTGGGGTTGACATTCGGCACTTAACGTGTTAACAAATCCTGGATTTTGATCAACCGGAAGCAGAGAATTTAACAGCCCGGAATCATGCTGGGGATGCTCTTCCGTGGGGTGTTCCTGATCGGCATACTCTCCTGGTACAGCACCAACGTGTGGAAATTGATCGACGGCTACTTCAGAGATCAGTTTCGTAACTACTTGGAGGAGGAGTATCGCAAGAATCCGCGAATGCGGTCCGATCTGCAGACAGCCTCAGTTGGTAAAGACGATCCCGCTACGGTGATGCCAGAAACGACAGTGGCACCGTCGCGGGAGATCCTCGAAGCTTGCGAGTCGGCCGTCTGTCCGGTCGAAATTGCAGGCAATGATACGGGGCGAGAGGAGGTGACAGGTGGCACCAGTGAAAACGAGGCCGAGAGCGGATCCACCGATAAAAATGCATACCTGGGAACCACCGCGGAATCGCAGCTGGAAAGTAGGAAGTCGTTCGAAGCCGATCAGGAATCCCGACTAGGCGTTAATCGCGACGACCATGACCTCCAGCATGGCGAGTTGAACGACGATCGGCGATCGAGTCCCTCGCCGGTGAAGAAGAAGAGGAGCAAAACAAACACGAAATCTGTCACCCCTAGGGACATCGCGCGGGGTCCTGCAACCCCGAAAAAACAAACCGTGAAGACGATCACCTTGACAGAGAGAGACTTCGATTCGGTGGTTGACACCTCGAACGACGATTTCTGGGAGTTCGAGGAAGACGCGGACGAAAGAGGACCGATCGAAGGCATTCTAGTTTCCCAGTTACCGTTCAAACCGAAGATAGATGGCATAGGGTACTTGGAGAGAGTCACCGCGGATGAGTATTGTCCATTAACTTTGGAGGACGAGCCGAACTGCGGGGATACAGTTAAGTGGCCTTAAGAGCTCAAATTCTACGTAATTGTGAGGGATGATCGGGAGAGGAAAATTTGGGGGATTATGTCTCTTCTCACTCGAAGATGTTTTAAACTTTGTGTATACAACCAAGTACCCGGGTATCCATTTCTATTTTTCTTTTAGTAACAGCCCCGCATCCCTACCCTTAAATAATTAATATAAACTAAATATCTTAAATAACAAAACTTCATATATTGTGAATGTTTTGATAAGCTCTCTGCTAAGCCGTATTTGACGAAGTGTCATTACTACGCCATGTGTACCTAAAACACAATGTATGATAAATGCAGGTCCGCATCAGAAAATATCTTACTAATTGTTCTGATAATTCGAAACAGAAAGATGAAGTAGCTTCCTTCATTAGAATGGTGTAAATCAAATGAATAAAATAACTGATTATTTTAAAAAATAGCGGCGGTTAGAAGTTCGAGCTTCGATTTATTAGACTTTTCTTTTAATTTTGACCTAGTAAAAAATTAGAAAGAAACAAGGTTTCCTAAAATAGTGATACTCCTACTAGCTAATGATAACTCTTTATTTTTATTTGATTTCTATTTTCGACACTTTCAGAAGCTACGATAGAAAGAAACTGAATTTTTAGAAGTTCTAGGACAAAATACCTTCCTAATTGTTAACAGCTTTCACGGAAAATTGAAATAACAAGTTTTTTTATTTTCGATTTTCGTCATATGGTGTCGGAATAAATAAGCTCTTAAATGACCCATCTGTTGTCAAGAAGCGTATAGAATACATAAAAAATGAGAAGAAATTTGCAAAATAAGATGTACATACTGAACAATGAATTTGTAATAGGCTGTCGTAACAATACGGTAACAAGCAAACACATTATCGATAAAAACCGAACATAGGTTTACATTATAATCTTAATAAACTCTCATTTTTTTCGATTATGCATAGCTTTATGAGAATTTAAAATAAATAGTGAAAATTGCAATCAGATGTTTGTGATGTAATTATAGTTGCTTAGTCGCGGAAATTCTATCCCGACAGAGTAACAGCAGTACAAGATTGCAAGATAACTATCAAAATATTTAATTTCATCTGATTATCGATACCAGTTACAAATTTGTCAACAAAAGAATACTAAACGAAACATGATTTATTTTAAAATATATTTGTATTTTAATAAATTATAATTATTCTTAAAAAAAACTCTAAAAAGTTTATATAAATGTATATTTATATTATAAATTCACTCATTTACGACAAGATTGCATTGCAAACGTGATATTGAGTATCTTCTAAAAATTAACAATTCATTTACTCTGTCTAAGATTTTTTATAGCAATATAAATAATATTCATCAGTCAAAATATCGGTAGGAAATTGAATGATGCCCTGTAGGGCTGTTAGAGTATCTTTGTCTATAGGCTGAGATATTGTAGGTGGCAAATTCCAAGAAACGTCACCGCCTGCGCCCGCATGTCCAAGATTGTTTATGACAGTACCTGCCGTTGTCGTCCTAGAGCGTCCTAGACAATCAGTACACAGCATGCTTTGGTTCTAATTATGCAGGACATCTGAAACCTACCTGAACTTGTTCAATGACGGAAGTAGCTTGTTTAGAATGTAACATGAAGAAGCAGTAGAAAACTTCGAAGCAAGAATACACTATCGTTCAGCAATTATATACGTAGAAGATAATAGTAGTAATTACACTGCGGAAACTCGAGAGAAATTGATTTCCTTTCTTAAATTAATAATAATAATATCTATACAGTCTTCTAACGTTTATACTGTTTTGTATTTCTTCTACAGTAAAACGGATAACTGAATCTGTCGGATATAATAGGGATCCGCTGATTATCCTTTCTTTCGCTGTTTATTCATTCATAGAATTGAAATTATGTTTCATATACAGTAAATTCTTCCGAATTGATCTCCAGCTTGTACACTAAAATGGACAATTTGAGAAGAGGAGATACGATTATTCGAGCCTTGCGGCTCGTTTTTATAATTACTGATTGTCAACAACTATAAAAACGAGCCGCAAGGCTCGAATAATCGTACCTACTCTTCCCAAATTGTCAATTTTTATTTCCAATCTGTGGCTCAATTAGTGAGAATTTACTATAACTGGATTTTGCTACACGTTGCTTTGAATACAAGGGTAAGTATCAATTTTACAATCGTTTAACATGTATGTACAATATGTTTCAACAAATTACAATTCATACATACTTTGATATAATTAAATAAGCAAGGATATATTGCTGGGGTAATACTATAATTTACAGAGGCGCGATATGAAAGAGCTATACACATTGTAATTAAATAATAAGTAATTGCAAATAGAGAAAAATATGTATTGTGTATAGTTAAGAACATCATAATAACAAGATTTTTTGCATTGTTAAGGCACTGCATATTTTCCATGTTTATTTCTAATTATACATCACGCTTATGCACCACTCTTTGAGAACACAGTTCTAGACGAATCAAACAGATATAAGTGATTGAATTAAATCGTTACTCTTATCTCACATTATTGCGTAGAGAGATTAATCTAGAAGTTGCCACCAAAGCAAAAATAGTAAGTTGTATAATCGGTATGTCCTGTAGACTGGAGTCGGATAATAGAGGCAAGCTATGTATATTGGATAAATAGAGTCCAGGTAAACGGAGTTTTACTGTATTTATAAGTAATAATTAGACAATAATTCAGCTCACGGTGAAGAAATACTAAATACAATACNTGCGGCTCGTTTTTATAATTACTGATTGTCAACAACTATAAAAACGAGCCGCAAGGCTCGAATAATCGTACCTACTCTTCCCAAATTGTCAATTTTTATTTCCAATCTGTGGCTCAATTAGTGAGAATTTACTATAACTGGATTTTGCTACACGTTGCTTTGAATACAAGGGTAAGTATCAATTTTACAATCGTTTAACATGTATGTACAATATGTTTCAACAAATTACAATTCATACATACTTTGATATAATTAAATAAGCAAGGATATATTGCTGGGGTAATACTATAATTTACAGAGGCGCGATATGAAAGAGCTATACACATTGTAATTAAATAATAAGTAATTGCAAATAGAGAAAAATATGTATTGTGTATAGTTAAGAACATCATAATAACAAGATTTTTTGCATTGTTAAGGCACTGCATATTTTCCATGTTTATTTCTAATTATACATCACGCTTATGCACCACTCTTTGAGAACACAGTTCTAGACGAATCAAACAGATATAAGTGATTGAATTAAATCGTTACTCTTATCTCACATTATTGCGTAGAGAGATTAATCTAGAAGTTGCCACCAAAGCAAAAATAGTAAGTTGTATAATCGGTATGTCCTGTAGACTGGAGTCGGATAATAGAGGCAAGCTATGTATATTGGATAAATAGAGTCCAGGTAAACGGAGTTTTACTGTATTTATAAGTAATAATTAGACAATAATTCAGCTCACGGTGAAGAAATACTAAATACAATACTGTAATTAATAGACCGCGATTCTTTATGTATTTATAGCACACGCAAGTTTATAAATTGGAAGAAAACATGCACATTCATGAAAATTAATTGTATTATTGTTCTATATTCGCCACAAGGAACTTTCTAGCCGATATAAGGAATTCTTTAATTCTTTAGGCATTCTAAAGATGATTAGTGAAAATAAGAATTTGCATAACGATCCGCAGTAACACTCGAACGGCGGACCTTTTTGATAAAAATATAATTGGATACGCTAAGAATCATTTATAATTTTATTTATAAATTTATTTTGACATATTTTTTAAGCTACTCTTTCTAGGCACATCTTTCTATAATCCTTAATGAAATAGATAAAAATTTAAATTAAATGTCAGAAACTAGATAGTCAAATATTTATACTCTGAGGATATGTGACTAAGAAATTGTGTAAGAAATGTTAAAATAGAGAAGTTACTCCTATCTCTGTTATAGAGCTATACAAAATATGTACATATGTTAAATATCTATTTAATTCGATAATATTTTATAGATCTATGATTTTAAACGATCCTATTATACTGCTTCAATAAATACTATTATTTAAGTATACCAATGAAATAGTTCGTTGATCTCTTAACGCGCGAGCCTGTGGTATAATTTAAACGAAACTTTCTCATCTTGTACTCGATAAACGTGTACGTACACCGCAGATGAAAATAATGAACCCACTAATATCGTAAAACTGTTCTTGGCTTGTCAGTGAACGCCAATATATCTGAAATTCTTGTTGGATCAAGATAGCCTAGAACCAAATACATTTTACTAGTGAAAACAAATTCGTATGACTAATATTGCAAGAATAAGGCCGCAGTTCGGCGAGATGCTGCCCTTTGGCCTTGAAAATGAGGTCTTATATGGGGGAAACTACGAGGTTGCTGTGAAAGTACAGAGAAATTGTGATCTATGATTTCTGTGCATATTTACGATCGTCGGGGAAATTGAATCGCCAGCGGGAGGACGTGCAGACTATACTTTTCGTGTCTATCACGCCAGTTAGGCCCGCTGTAGTTCCTTCGTTTGATAAGCTATCGTACTTCCGTACATTAAGATATTGTCGGTCAGTTAACGCCACTGTTACCCTGAATTCGGTCATTGTTCGATCTGCGCTATAATATATTATAGCTACAACGAATATTTTTCAGTTAACATCGCCAACATGTTTTATGATATCTTTGAAAAATCAACTGTGACTGAAAGAAGCTCGACAATTGTCTTTTAACCAGTTAGTTATTGCGAACTCTTTGAAATATAGTACGTACCTCAAATGTGTTGCAAAAAGCAAACGATGACGAGTATACTACTTAAAGCAGATACTATAATATACAGATTTTTCATAATAATTACTTATATTGTTTCACTTGTTCGTTCTATCTCGAATATTCAAAAAATCTTAGAATTTACAAATATATTTTAATTCTCATTAAAATTGCAATTTAAACAGCGAATTTTTACGCACGATGAGTACGCTCATCATAACACGAAAGACTGCCAAAACTCTGCTAACTGGTTCAATAATCATTTCAGAAGAACTTGTTTCAACATATTAACCTAAATCATTTGACGAACTGTAGTTCCTCAGTAATGTTTTTAAGAAATTCCAGTTTAATGTTAAGAAAGTGAAACGCGCGTAGATTTCAAATCGGAACAAACTAAATAAATAAGATTAAATACGAATGACTATAAGATTAAATACGACTTAAATTTATGAACGCTAATGTATGCCAACGGCTGTCCCAAGATCGAAGTAATTAACGAAGTATGCGAAAATGGTGCGTCAGTTAATCATTCAGCCATCAGAACTTGTGATCATTCGCTAACATTGTAGGCGCATTGGATACATGGTTCACGTAAGATTACGCATCAAAGTCATATGAATCGAAATTGTATATGTATATCCTGCATGAATATGCTTACATAAATTTCCACAGTAAACATCCTGGATAATTGAAAAAAGACTTGTGCTACGTTAGATTTTATTTGCTGTAATGCTCGTGTGCGTACGCGCAGCTCGTCCTTCTGGTTTTAGACTCATTTCCCTTAAACTAGCGTTACGGCATGAAATTCACGTAGACTTGAAACGCGATGCTCTATTTTTCCGAGCAAAACTGTTTTCCCAGCCGACGCCGTAACTCATGATTTACTAACCGGCAATCGAGGCGCACACTGGCGAAATGCAAATTAGAGCACGGATGGCACAGCCAGACAAGAACGCAAACTCGTATCAAGAAAACTCGCTTATTATTAGTCAACGTTAAAAAAGAAAAAACCAAATGGCTTCACAGCAAGAAGGTCATCCAACATTTTTCTACCCACGACGCATGCTTAGGCGTCAATTAAAACGAGCCGCGAACATAATTGCGCGATTAAATGCAAGCCTGCACGATTTAATTGAAAACCGGAGGTGAAATATTTCACGGGACTCTTGTTTTCGCGCGATAAACACTTCACAATTGTTTAACTTTGTAACGACATCAATTCTGTTTCGAGTTTATGGGATAATTGTGGGTATTTCTTGCTTAAATGGTAGGCTAGATGTTTAAATTCATAGTGACGTACATGCGATAAAGCAAAACGAAAATATAAAAGAAATTGTTGAGAAAAAAGTCAATTGTTTTAGTTACATAAGAAATCATATTAAATTTCAAAACTATTGTACTTACACAGAAAATATTTTAGTTAATATTTATAGAGAATATTATAAAAAAGATATATANTTGCATCGAAGAAATTGAGAGATTCGTTTTGGTGGTATACGTTTTAGCGGAACGTTCCATTTCGTGGTGAAAGTACTATTTTATCTGGTTTTTTATTTATTACTTCTCGTTACTTTATTTATTACTTCGTTACTTTATTCATTACTTTGTTACTTTATTTATTACTATGTTACTTTATTTATTACTTTGTTACTTCAGTTAATACTTTGTTATTTTGTTGGCTTATTTATTAGTTTGTTGTCTTATTTATTATTTTGTTGCCTTATTTATCACTTTGTTACTTTATTTATTACTATGTTACTTTATTTATCACTTTGTTACTTTATTTATTATTTTGTTGCCTTATTTATTACTTTGTGTTACTTTATTCATTACTTTATTGCTTTATTTATTATTCTATCGCTTAATTTATTACCTTGTTACTTTATTTAGTATTTTATATTGCTTTACTTATTACTTTGTTACTTTATTTAATATTTTGTTACTTTATTTAATGCCTTGTCACTTTATTTATTACTTTATTTCC